TCATTTTGCACTCCCCGCCCACTTTATATATCATGTATACATCTCTATCTATAAAAGGCAGGATGTGTGTGTGTGTGTGTGTGTGTAACGAATGCACGGCCGCACTTTTCGACGGATTTGCACCATACTTTACCTGCACATGCTCCAAGTTAGCGAGAAGGCCAAGACCAACGTTAGACATTTTCATGACGGTCGTCCTCGAATATAGAATCCAGAGGTTGGCAGTGAATATTTCGGAGACAGTAGGAAAGCGTAGTGGAGGTTCGCAGTGGATATCACAACAGAGTGTAGTTCATCCTTCGTCTGGTCGCCTTTGGTCCTTCCGGTAGAGGAAACAAGATGGCCGCCTTTATACACGACGAATACAGTGTTGGGCGGATTCGGATTGATCAATCTTCCATTGGTCGACTATAAAGGGAAATAAGTCATTCTGACTAGCTCACTAGTTATACGTATTATATACCCAAAAAACCGTAACAGACCAACGTTGCATTTCCCAACTCCCATCGATAGTGGAAATAATCGATTTTTTCATGCTTCTACGGCAGTTTTCATGTAATTTGCGGCCATTTTGTACTGGCCAGAGTGAGAGCCTATAGCTGGCTGCCACAAATATGCAGGAAGATTCTATTGGCCAGCGTGAGAGCCAACAGCTGACTGACACGAATGATAACTAGCATGCAAAAAAATCGATGGCTACATTCGTCACAAGTGGGAATAATTTAAATATGCAAGGCACTTTACTCCAATTGGCTCATTTGCTTGCTTAAACTCAACGTTGATTCTGATTCCGCTGAACATTATTTTTATGTTTGATGCATTTAAAATGATCAAATTTTATTTCAGAGAACAATAAAATTAAATTGTGTTTGATTGAAACCCTGCTAACATGGAAGTACCCAAGAATCATTTGAGGCACATAATGCTTTATGAGTTCAAGAAAGGAAACTCAGCAGCCGAAGCGGCTAGAAACATTCACTCAGTTTATGGAGAGGAATGTGTGAATGAAAGAACTTGCAGAAGATGGTTTGCAAAATTCAGAGGTGGAGATTTCACCCTTGAAAATGAAGATCGAACCGGACGTCCAGTTGAATTTGATAAAAAGCTTCTTGAAGCAGCCCTTGAAGAAAATCCTGCTTTATCAGTTGAGGAATTGGAAGTGTTTCTCAGTTCAAACGATACAACTGTTCATCGTCATCTTCAACAACTTGGAAAAGTTCCTAAACTTGGAAAATGGGTGCCTCATGAATTGTCTGAAAACAACCTCAAATCCCGAGTTCACATCTGCTCTTCTCTCCATTCTCGCCAAAGTGTTTCACCTTTTTTGGATAGACTTGTGACTGGCGACGAAAAATGGATCTTTTATCGAAATGTTAAGCGTCGTAGACAGTGGCTTGGTAAAGGAGAAGGACCCCAGCCACAGCCGAGAAGGGAACTTCATGGGCAAAAGGTTCTTCTTTAAATCTGGTGGGATCGCCAAGGAATAATCCACTTTGAATTCTTACAACCTAATGCAACAATTAATGCTCAAATATACTGTCAGCAATTAGAGCGTTTGAACCAAGCTTTGAGGAAAAAAGACCTGCTCTAGTGAATCGAAAAGAGGTGAGGTTTCATCAGGAAAATGCGCGACCCCACACAGCAAGAATCATGTCACAAAAGATCGTAGAACTTGGTTACGAGAAGATTCCTCATCCACCTTATTCTCCCGATCTTGCTCCTTCCGACTACCATTTGTTTCATAGCTTACAGAATCATTTGGAAGAAACAGCTTTTGTAACACAGGATGAGGTTAAAACTGACATTTGTGTGTTCTTCGAATCAAAGCCAAAAGAATTTTACAGTAATGGAATTAGTAAGCTTGTTAATAGATGGAAGGAAGTCATAGATAATCAGGGAAAATACATTGTTGATTGAATCTGTAATTAAATGTAACATTTGGTCACATGTTTTTTTTATTCAAAATTCGGACAGAACTTATGGGATGACCTGATAGATACCGAGAAATAAACTAAGTTATTAATGGTGAGTTTAATTGTGATATTGTTCCGTTAATGTGTATTGATTCAACGCATATGCGTATTGTAATACGAATGAAGAAAGTTGGTAGTTACCAAATTAGGAGTGTGGTTAAGCAAAAAACTGTATCGGTGTATAGGGTAAAGAAATAATAAACAATAATAAAACAAAATAAAAAAGCACTTACGATGATGTAACTGGATATGGAAAAATAAATAGATAAATATCAGAAGCAGGTCACTTTAGGTATTACAGAAATGATAGGATAATCAGCTTTAGTCAGCATCGAAATATTTGAGAAGAGATTTCCTTCTGTGGCTGCATGTAATCATGAGCTCATTTCGCTTGTTCAGCAGATTATGATTATCGATTTGTTTAAGAATAGTTCGTTTTTTCTAATAGGCACAGAATACATTTAAATGTTAAAATGTTTTGTTATAGCAATGAGATCCCAATTTACTACAGGTGTATAGTTATCTGTCTTGATTTCACAGAAAAATTAGAGTGTCATTGCATTATAAAAGGAAAACATAGCCGATACGTCTTGCTCCCTGTGAGGCTTTATCAAGGCAAATGCAAGAATTTTATTTTTTAACAAGTGTTTATATACAAAATCAAAAGTTATAGTGCTTTTTTTTCAGAATGTTTGAGTTAGAAACGCACATCAAAACGCATAGGTCAGCTGAAACATCAGGTAAGCTATGGAAGGTGCGAAGTGATGATTTCGTTTTTTGGAAATTTTGTGCAAATTACTATTTGAATTAATTTGTGAGTTATGTGTTGAGAAAGTTTTTGATAAAACCAGTTTCCAGATGCATTTTGACCTTCCATAAATATATCTCTCACTCGGTTTATATCTGTGTAATTCTCGTTCTTCCCACACACACATAAACGCGCACATGCAGACACACACACATATATATATGTGTGTGTATTCATATAGTCAACTATTGAAAGTCAGTTGTTTCAACTGAAAATAACTTCTCTTCGTCTCAATCGAAAAGTTTTTAAAAAAAACTGAAAAAAATGAATTCACCATCTTCCGTTCCACAATCTCACATAAATAATTTTGTAATTAAAACTTAAGAAATATTTTCTGTTTCCTGTTGGATTTCAAATCCAAAAGGAAACAGAAAATGAAGAAATTTTTACAACTCTAAAGAAGTAAATTATTACCTCATGAAGATTTAGTGTTTATATATTTTTTAGAATAATAATTATTGCTCTGTTTCAAACATAGAGCTCCACCTGGTATTATATCCTTTTGGAAATATCCATATTGATCATTATATATATATATATATATATATATATATATATATATATGGATCATTAGTGTAACTGTTCTTTCCTACTACATCAATACACACACATACCTATATATATTCGGTTGAGTCTTAAATAATTTTGGATTTTTTGTGAACCAATTATAATCACAGACGTAACATTGTAACGAAAATGATAATTATATATATATATATATATATATATATATATATATATATATATGATAAAAAGTCTTTTTCATAAAAATAAAGCTATTAAGACGCAAGGGATTACAGAGGCTAAGGGAACAATTGACTCAAACGAAATGAATTGAAACCTTCGGAATAAACCTTGTCCATGCTGAACACATTTTACTGACTCTTTACAAGAAGAAATGGTAATAGGTTTTCTTTTTTTGTAAATAAAAACAAACAGAAAAAAATCAAATATCAGACCATGTATTTCCAAACTTGAGAAGTTTCCAATCATTTATCGAAGACGAATTTCGAGTGGATCAGGAAAATATTTTACGTAGAATCTTTTTTTTTTAATATCGCATCTATTCTGGACATATGCAATCTTCACCCTCTACTCATATTTCTTTATTGTCTGGGAAATCCCATAGAGTAAAGATTGTGCGTTCCTCGTCTTGTTGAAATTACTGAACTTGAATTCAAAGACTTATTCGGAACATTAACACATATTTCATTTGACCTATTTTACTGTCTTCTTTACGTGTCTTAATTGTATATAAAGAAAAGTTATTTTTCACCGTAGTGTCAGGTGAAAATAGCATCACATTGTTAAATGCATGAAGAATAAAAACGATGTTATGTCAAGATTTATTGACAAAACAGCTCAGGATTTTTTTATTTCTTTCAGCGAGGTTGGATTTTATTTTTACACAATTGTTCAGGCGCTTTGAAGTAATAAAAATATGAATATGTTAATCTGCTTTCACAATTGTATATATGGTACATAATACTCAGCTTTTGGGCATATACATGTTGGTGTGGACATTCCTGGAGGCAGTGATATGTTTATGTTTTAGTTTCGGTGATGTTATATTTTGCAATATATTTTGATTTAAGAAATTCTACGATATTATATAGATTAATATTCTGAAAGTGTTCTTTCATGTTGGTTGTTTGGTTAGTTCATTTAGTTAATCGGCATATCAACCTCAATGGCTTATTTAATGCCAAAATCTAAATATATGCCTTCAACTATATATAAAATGTGTTATTGTTTATTTTTCTTTATAAATATATTCTTGGCTATTTTACTATATAAATGCATTGTTATATTTTCATAGTGGTTTGAGGATACGCCATTTGCCCATAACTGTGACCCTAACAGTTGCTACCACCCGGGATTAGGGTGGACCTGAGAACAACATCTTTGTAAAACGTTGCGATCAGACATCTTGCCGCTGTATCTAGTTTATCGTGATACTCCGGAAAAATTCACCATAGACTCGAAGTGATTAAAAGTATTTTTCTGTGAAACATTCTTTCCAAAAGTAATTTTTTTGTTCGAGATAATAATGGTTTAGTAATAGAAGTTTTAATTATTAACCAATAGCTCGTATGGAAAAGAGTTTCCTAAGGGTATTTTCGTGGAAGTGAATATAACGAACCCAACTGGAATTGGAACTTGGCTCTTCAATTGACGGTTCCGCGGCATTTTCTATTAAACCACTCGCACATCCAATCTTACAGCACCTTGTATTCCCAAGGATTCATCCATCTAGATACAGACCAGGTCTCGATGTTGGTTAACTTCGGTGATCTTATGAGAACCGGAGCTTCGATGTTAGGTGGTCGCAAGCCCTACAGGTTTGCGGCATTGCAAAAGAATTTCTCCAGATTGAACTTCTTCCTTCCAAATGGAATATAAAGGAAACGAGGATGATCCACCCCTGGGTACCTGATATGGCGTGTTTGAATTAGTGTAACTAGGAAGTGTAGCAGAACATTTTTCATGAAAATAATGATAAAGATAGTTGGGCTTGTGGGTAGAAGGTAATCCAAAATGGAAAATAATATCTCCCAACTAAAGACCGGTTAAACGTTTTTGAACTTTATCCATCACCTGATCATCTTGGTTTTTCAATGGGTGTCCATAAACTTGTATCGTTTGCATCTAGGCTTAGTAATGTTTTGAGAATCTTCCTTGTTAGATCGTTAATAATTTTTTTTTTAAATCAGAAAGAAGGTATAACAGAGTCTTGGGGGATTATTTATTTCTTTATTTTTGTTAATTGGTATCACCCCCATGCAAAACAGTAAAGCCACTAAGACACAGGGGATTACAGGGAGTGAATTAATATTGATAAAGTGCGGGAAGAGAAGAGAGTAATCAAGTGGAGAGTAGATATTGATTTACATTGCATTTAAATTTTTGTAGATTAAAGATGGCTGGAAACATGGAGCCGGAAAGGAGTTCCACAAACGAGAAATGCGAGAAAAGGAACTATTAGAATAGAACTTACGGCAAAATTTAGTCAGCTCAAGTGTAAATAGGTGAGTTCTTAACCCCAGTATAATAGTTCGCTAAAATTTTAAAAAAGCCTAGGTTTCATAACGATGAACATATCCGAACAATCGCCATGAATGTATTTGCAGAAAAGACACAGAGGTAACCTTACCGCGTTGGGAAAGTGACTGAAGCCGAGGCGCAGATAAAATATCAGATTTTTTTAATCCAATTTGAGCATTTATAGAGCACTAGATAATATCTATCTACAATATAACATGTTTGATGTATTACAGAAATCTAACCAACAATTTATCACCGAAAATCGCGTGTTTTTCTTCTATTCTAAACAGGAAGTTTGTCCTTTCGATATCGAGAAGGAAATAACGCAAAGAGTCATTTGACTAAAAGGAATATTTTCCTTTTGAGACAGGTTTGTAATTATTGTAACCTAGGGAAGGCTACTGAATAGAATAATCACACGAAGGTTGGTAATAAACGATAATACTTTCGACAAGAACAACGCATATAAGATTCGTCAGCGGCGCGTAAAAGTAGTAGTCAACTGCTAGAAGTGAGTCAAGTCAATTCCACAATGAATCTAAACCTGCAGGATATCTACCAACCGCCTCATGCGGTCAGATGTGGCACAAGGCCGAAAATGTGTTGGGTATCCGAGCCCGTGGCTCGGCGAAAAAATCCCCGTAGACCCCATACAAAACGGATTTGGGAGCTGTTTCCCGAGACGAGACTCTGCCCTTCGACATAGCCACGTCTGGGGATCCTCTCTGCCTAGAGTCAGAGAGTTTGACCGGCACAGCTGGAGACGAATTTCCAACTGGGAAATATCTACCAACCGTCCCACGGGGTCAGATGCAGCCAAAAATTTGCATGTAGACCCCGTATGAAACGGGGTCGAGTAGCTGTTTCCCGAGATGAATCTCTGTTCTTCGACATAGCCTCGTTTGGGAATCCTCTCTGCCCGGAGGCAGAGAGTTTGACCATCACAGATGAAGACGAATCTCCGACTGCAGACCAACATACAGTATTTACTACTGTATTTATGTGAATGGGGACATACCCATTATCGTCCGTAGGCATGCTAGAATAGTAATTGATTTTTGCATGACACAGAGTCGCGAACATGTCAGCATTATATCGATTTTAAGAGGCAAATAAAAGGTTTTTAATGTCTCCTCAATAACTGGCATACACAATTTACGCTTGTCTTACAAATGCACGCAATTGCTTCCACTCTAATGCAGGCATTGGATGAAATATATTCGCTGTAGCGAAATTAGGTTTTAAGATAATTATTTCCGTTGATGTGTTGTTCATCATGGATTCAATTTTATTCTTTTTTTTTTTAAATTAATAGCAAAACAATTGCAATTGAGAGAATCCTATTTTGTCATATTTGTTTTTAAATGATTTATTTGAAATAAGAATCTAAAATAGTGGCCGACACGCGTTTCCATGTATAGCTGACTGCTCGCATGGATAAACTAATTACTGCTACAGACACCCCCTCAGGCACCTTCCTGTTTATTCAACGCTCACTTGGTCAAACTGGAGTTTCTACTTCAACTATCCTGAGGGGACCTGAGTTAAAGTTTATGGGTTGCAGTTTCTCAGAAAACATTTTAAAAAAGTTTAATGCGCTCCAAATTTTGACGTTTGATTTAGTGTTAGCACAAACAGTTTTCTCCACAGAATCTCGCGTAAAAGGCTTGTGGCTTCACGTGGTCTCTAAGGCCGATTATTATCAATACGTTTCCAGGAAAATGGTGAGGTTAAAATTATTTGAATCTCATTTGGAATATTTCAATATTATCATCGCTACACTTATATATAAAGAAAATGATACACTCCAGCATATTATTTAAACATATATAGAACCCCAAAGTTGTGTAATGTTTGGCAAGCTTGACACGCTAGAACAATTACGATTGGGTTGTGAGTTCGATCCTCACTGGGTGCTCGTTATGTTCAGCCTTTAGCCACATCTAAGCTAAGTTCGGAAAATCCTCATATAGAATGTGAACTTCATTTATTATTGTTAGCTTAAATGATGCCAGCAGTGCCTCTGCCGTGATGTCGATTCGGTTCTTATTAAAAAAATATATATGGTGGAACTAATCATTATCACTTAAGAGACCTATTATTATAATTAATTAAAAAATAGGTATGCCACTATGGCTGATGGAAAAAATGCAGCTGTGTCAATGGAAGTGATTCTGTAATTAGCAGTTAATAGACGATTTTTTGTCAATTTACACTAATAAATTTGAGTATGGCGTTTATGAATACAAAAGGTTAAATCAGAGTGCCGAGTTCAAATCTCTGCCTAGTCAGTTATTTTCGTATTCATTGCTCATCAGAAGGGATTACCCTAAATCTCCTTTATCAGCCATTCTAAGAGAATACATAGTCTCACTTCAGTAGTGAAGGCAACCGGGCGTTACTCTATTATATTTCCATGTAGTTTTAACAATACGCAAACTATAAAAAAAAATAATCTGTCGAGAGACGTATTCGCCCGCCTCCAAAGTATAAAAAAATTAAAAAAATAAAATCGGTAAATGATTGGAGTGAAAATGCTTAATTTCTCACGTTAGAGCGATTTGACAGTATTGCGCTTATAGAGGTTGCGTTATGACGTGTACTTCTTGTTGTTTCAGAGTAACGCGAATGCATACATACACAAACCGGACCACTTTCATTGTAATTACAAAATAAACTAATGAAAGCGTAAGTTAATTTGTACATTTTGTACATTTTGCAAATTCGTCTCGATGCCTCTTCCTAATACAGCGAGCTAATGAGTTAGCGTTCTCAGGTGGTAGAATTGGAACGGAATTGAGTTATTGTTACACCGAAAATCTGGAGATACGATAGATTCCCTTGCTGCTGCGTCGCCGGGTAATCACTTCTGGTTTAGATGGGAGGATTTATAGTATGCTTCTAGTAAAAATACATGCAGAATATAAAGAGAGAATCGAAAATAGATGTGTAGATTAAAAGTGTCTTTCTCCATGTGTTGTGTATCCTCAGAGCGTTGTTTCTTTATATTCTCGCCTCGTATTTTACAGAATTTCACCTGCATGTACCCCCACCCTCACGTTTTTGCTTCGTATTATTTGTACTTTCAGCCACTTGCCGAATCTTATCAAAAAGTTTACTCTCTTTTTGTTTTTGCTGTTTCGTTTTCTTTCGATGTGTTATGTGAGTGTTAAATTTTCAGGGCTTTCTTTTCTCGTTCTTATTGTCAACGATGTGATTAGAACAACATTTTCTGTAGGAGAATAACAAACAAAAAATTGGGCTCATGGAAAATCTTTCTAGTTCTGTCTTTTTCTCCGTCTCTCTCTCTCTCTCTCTCTCTCTCCAAAAGTCATTTCTTTACGACAGTTGATTTTCCCATCTCTCTTTCTCTTTCTTTCAGTAACTCTCTCTCTCTTTCTCTCTCAAGCGCGTAAAAATCTGGAAAAAGAAGATATAAGGAAAGTAAGCAGAGAGAGGAAGATATAAGGAAAGTAAGCAGTGAGAGGAAGATATAAGGAAAGCAGAAGGAAAGATATGAGAGGAAGATATAAGGAAAGTAAGCAGTGAGAAGAAGATATAAGGAAAGTAAGCAGAGAGAGGAAGATATAAGGAAAGTAAGCAGTGAGAGGAAGATATAAGGAAAGTAAGCAGTGAGAGGAAGATATAAGGAAAGTAAGCAGTGAGAGGAAGATATAAGGAAAGTAAGCAGTGAGAGGAAGATATAAGGAAAGTAAGCAGAGAGAGGAAGATATAAGGAAAGTAAGCAGAGAGGAAGAGGAAGATAAGCAGTGAGAGGAAGATATAAGGAAAGTAAGCAGAGAGAGGAAGATATAAGGAAAGTAAGCAGAGAGAGGAAGATATAAGGAAAGTAAGCAGAGAGAGGAAGATATAAGGAAAGTAAGAAATAAGCAGAAGGAAGATATAAGGAAAGTAAGCAGTGAGAGGAAGATATAAGGAAAGTAAGCAGTGAGAGGAAGATATAAGGAAAGTAAGCAGAGAGAGGAAGATATAAGGAAAGTAAGCAGTGAGAGGAAGATATAAGGAAAGTGGGAGAATTAGATAAAGGAAAATAAGGAAAAAAGTGAAGGAAGAATAAGGAAAAGAAAGGGAAAATGAAAAAGAAAGGAATAGAAAAGAAATACAATGAGGAAGAAAGAAAAGAGAGAGAGAGAGAGAGGAATCGAAAGACAAAGAAGTTAAACAGTAATAGAAGAGCAACTTAATGAGAAATAGTGAGCTCATGAGAGAAAGAGAATAAGAATAATGAAAGAGAAGGTAAAGAAGATATATGAAAATGAATTTTAAG